AGAAAAATTTTGTACTGATGTGATATATTTAAGGAATCACTGTCTAGTTTGTTGGGTATGCCAGGGCATCAACGATAGTTGGAAACGGGATAATTTGCATAACGAGCGAAGCTCGTTATCCATTAATTATCCCAAGTTTCCAACTATCGTTGATGTCCTTGGTATACCCAACAAACTAGACAGTGATTCCTTATATCTCCATTTACATATGAAATAAAAATTGTAAATATAAATCAAAAAGATTTAAAATACACGAGGCCTCACATGTCAATTTCAATAGTCCCGCCCACTGACGTCAGACATAATCACACCCGCTCGAGAATGGCATGCATATAAGGCACCTGACCTTTCACCTGGCGAAATTAACATTCCGGTTGAATGATCAAGAAATCAACTAACCTAACTTTCAAAGAGGAGAAACAGAGAAAACAATTAGAAATTGAAATATTAGGGATTAATTTTTATGCATGCTTCAATTAATCTATATCATTCTAATGAATTTTTAAATCAAAAATCCATTCGAGTTTATTAAGTTTGTTTTCAAGATCTTTTCTGTAATTGCAGAACATCGCTTTTTATTCAAGAGTTAAGTAACACTTAATACGATAAGGAAGATAACTATGTTGAGCAATTATACTTTCATTTCTCACATCATGGACTGTTACATTTTATATGAAAAGAGAGATAAATCTATATGTAAAGTTAAAACTTCTAGATTTGTACCACGAAAGGTTAAGATTTAATACAAAAAAGTAAGATTCTATTTTGTTAAGTAGGAATTTCTCTGTTGAACTTGGCAACGGATTGTGGTCCCTGTCTCTAATGTGCAGATTCTCACCGGATGTCATTTCATGTCCATTTTTTCGATGTTCATTCCCTGAATAATCAATGAGAGATGCAGATAAATTACCCTAACAAAAATTTACTATAGTTAATTATAGTTTACCATAGTTAATTGTAGTGAAAACTTTGATACTTTGATTTACTATGAAACTTTACTCAGGAACTTTTTTCTGATATTTCAAAGCTTATAATCTCTTACATTACATAACAGGTATGTAAAATTTGGATATAATATGTGAAGATACAAACAATTCATTGATACTATAGTAAACTATAGTTAACAGTAGTTGAATATAGTATTTTTGGTATCATTATTGTAATATTATTTTGAAATTGTGACTTTGAAAAAGATGAAGATAAGGATCAGTGATTGATATCAAAAAATGAAAGAAAAAAAAATTGAAAAAATAAACAATACAAATATCAGAACAGGGCATGACCCACGAACACATGGAAATATCAATAATATGTTTTGTTTTGTTTTGTTTTTTAAAACAAAAACACTATGAATAGTCGCACAGGTATTATGAAGATGATATTAGAAATGGTGCAAGATTTCTGATAGACAATATTCACGACGTCTTAGGAAATATAGTCTTCCAACAATCCAGTAGATTTCAGATAAGTATTAATTGTGCCATCTTTCATCGACGGGGATGCGTACTCTTAAAAAGAATTTATTTTAAAAACAATGTAGACGAGAAAGAAAGTTGTTTCTAAAATTTTCAATAAAAGCATATACACTATAGATAACAATAACTTACTATTATTAGCAATACTATTACTATTAATTACAATTATAATTCGGAAAAATTTTCATTTCTTATCAAGGCGAAACTTGATCAAACAGAAAGTGAAATATAAAAGAAGCTCATCAAAAAGCAAGTTAAACAAAGATTTGTTCCAATGATTTCATATTAAATCTATGAAAACAAATAAAACAAAAGGGGTCGTTGAATAGAGTATGTATATATATATATATATAGAGAGAGAGAGAGAGAGAGAGTCGAAAATCCATCTTCCTCCCATCTATATCTAAAAGGGAAGGGAAAATAAGAAAAAAAGAGTGTCAGAAATTTTATCCTCAAAGCAACGGAAAGAAGAAATTGTATTATATAAAATTATTTAAATACAACAAAATCACATTTAACATGATTTTAAGATGACGTCGGATGTGACCGGTCAACAGGGACTTTCCAGTGGTTTATATTTATGCCCCTTTCACAAACTTGTATTGTAGATTTTTTGATATCGATCACTGTTCGTCACTTCACCTTTTTCATTTCGTTTTAATGTCCTCCACTTTACAGATTTAAAAAAACATATTTTTACTTATGCAATATATTAGGGAATGAATTCTATGTTTCAATTTCCATTATTTTGTTGAATTTTCTAATCAAAAATCCATTCGAGTTTATAAAGTTTATATCAAGAGCTTCCCTGTAATTTCAGAACATCGTTTTTTGTTAATGGGCTAAGTAACACTTAATACGTGCAGTTTAGCACCAGATATCATTGTATGTCAGTTTTTTGATGGATACCCTAGATATTAATTTTGAAGAAAAAAAAGTCAATGCAAGATGCAGACTAAATAAAATATTTTCATTTTTTTTCTTGAAATTAAGACTTTGAAAAAAGGTACAGAAAAGATCAAAGGGCGATCTCAAGGAAAAAATCTAAATAAAATAAATCTGTAAACAGAACATGAACCAAGGACACCTGGAAATTCGATAATTTTTTTAAGAATCTAAATCTTTACGCAGGTATTCTCAGGGAGATATTAAAAATGGTTTTAAATTTCAAATTGACAACGATTGCGATGTCTTTTGAAACAAAGTCTTCCAACATTCTAGTCGATTTCAGATATGCATTAAGTGTGTTGAATTCTAATAAAGGGTAAAGGTACATTGAAAAAGAAGAATTGTTTTTAAAAAAAAAAAATAAAGGGGAAAGGATATTTTTTTTCTAAAACTTTCAAAAAACACACACGATAACCATAATTCAATATTGTTTACAATATTACTATTGTTTGCTAGAGGTTGTATTTGAATTAAATGTGGAGATAACTAATGAATTTTTTCCAATAAAATTTATATTAATTTATTGCATTTGTAAGAATATCTATGGGTTTTGATATTGAAATAGTTGTATCTTAATTAACTTATTTGCTTCATTTTTTCTTACTTTTTTGGGCTAGCATGTAGACTGAATGTATATTCTGACGTCTCATTACCGGGACGCGGGTAAGAATGATGTAGGGGTACATACACCTACATTGTTAACAAATCAAATCTACCCTTTAGTTACGTAGAAAATAATACTTACTCTAAGTTTTATTACCATTTTTTTACGCCATCTCCTTGAAAACTTTTCTCCTTATTTGACTATATCAAAATGTAGTCTACAATTCTTTCGGAAATCTGACAATGAAACACTGCATAATAAAGAATGTATATTTGTTGGTGTTTCATTTCGACAAAAATACGTTGTCCAAATAAATTTTTCATGCCGCAACTTCGACACACAAAAGCGGAAGAAACTCTACTGTTTCTTTTGAAATAATACCTGTAGCAAAATGCGATGCTGACCTTTAGAAAACGTGATTATTTGACCTTTGACCTCATAGTATTCCCAAAATAAATAAATAAGACCTGTCAGTCGCACGAATATGGCACCATTACGTTTTTTTATATTTAAAAAGTTAAGCCCTTTCAATCTACTTCTCTATCCATAGTTGTCTTCAGCGGCGCTTCAAACAACTTTTTCAGCGCACACTGTACAAGATTCTTGTGAGAGTTATAATAAGTGAATATTTAAAATTCAAATCGTGAAAGTTTATTTTAAAACTATCTTCCCTTAAACGATTTATTTTCATGGTTATTAAGGAACCATTATTATATTTTGAAAAAAAAAAAAGAAAACGTAGAGAGAAATACAAAACATTAAAAAAAAGTTTATTTTACTAATAAATAATACGATTTAAAACTATTTTTAATTTACTTTTTCACCATTTACAATTTTTTTTCCAACAGTCTTGTTTACCAATTGTTGACAGAGGTGTATATGGGAGCGTAGTAGGAACGTCAACTCTTTTATATATTAATAGTACAATTCAAATTTGTATAGATTTGAAAAAGAAGTACCATCGACGTCAAATCTTAAGCTTCATTTTATTCCACAGATACAAGATGGAACAAGAGAATCCAACAAAGATATTATTGCTTAGTGGATTCATGAATCATATTTTCTCATCCTTTGAAAATATTGCACATGGCAAAAAATGTGGAATATTTCTTTAGAAAAGAATAATCTTGGATACATGTATATGGTATTGCAGTACTTGAACATCAAATGTTCCTAATTATGCAAAATGAATATAATTAATACAATGAAACCTGTCTAATACGACATGCACTGGGAGACAAATTCATTGGAGAATAATGTCAGCGGCATTTCTTTGATCTTGGCAATAATTGTGGTAGAATTCTGAATAAAGATGATGTCGGATTGCAAAGTGTAAAGAACATGGAGATTAAGAGAAATGAGAATGAAATTCAATGTCGGAATTTACAGTGAAACGGATTGTACAGGTGTCAGATAAGACAGTTTCCACTGTAATATGCTCTACAATAGAGAAATCGCCATTGTTATTTTCCGTACAAGTATCTTCATGGGGCAGTGTTTGTAAATAAGAAAGAAAAATTTCTTATTACCAATTTATTACAACACATACAAGGTACAGCTTTTGATGGGTACATCCGGTAAAGAAAAATAACAATTATTATTGTTTTAAAAAGGAGTTCAACCACAACCCCACCCTACCCCACCCCCACCTCAAAAATATACGTTATCTCACTTAAAGTTAAACATTTTTTTCAAAAAAACAAACAAACAAACAAACAAAAAATATGCCAATAGAACCCCATAATCAACACGGATTAAAAATTGTCTCTTTCTTCTGATTGATGAATTCTATTTTTTTTTAGATATTCATCTGTTGAAAATAAAAGAAAAAAAAGAATTAAAAGAATTAAAACATGTTTCAGAGAAATAAAAATGAACTTTTTATATCTCATCCAAATTCTCTTATAACTGTTAAAAATGTATAATCAAATACCAAAAAGTAAATATTGGGTATTAAGATTTGTGTTGTTTACCTAGTGACGTCTTATCAACATCACAGTCCCACTCACAGATGACCCACTCTTTACTGTAGGAGACCAAGGCAAGGACCAGTCTCCCGGGGACCAGGGACCGTTAAGGAAGGCGATGTGACAGGCATTATACCACCACCCTCCTCCGTACATAACAGCACAGTTATATCCACTTTGTCCGTCGTTATCTCTGTCTTGGGTGGTGAATGACATCCCAGACAGGGCACGGCTAAGATGACCAGTGTTTAACATACTGTCACCTGTCCAATTAGAGACAATATATTACAGTAGTTACTGGGATAGCATACTGTCACCTGTACAATTAGAGACAATATATTACAGTTGTCATTGGGATAACCAGTGTCTAACATACTGTCACCTGTACAATTAGAGACAATATATTACAGTAGTCATTGGGATAACTAGTGTCTAACACACCGCCACCTGTAGAGTTAGAGACAATATATTACAGTTGTCATTGGGATAACCAGTGTCTAACATACTGTCACCTATAGAATTAGAGACAATATATTACAGTAGTCATTGAGAAAACCAGTGTCTAACATACTGTCACCTATAGAATTAGAGACAATATATTACAGTAGTCATTGGGATAATCAGTGTCTTACATACTGTCACCTGTAAAATTAGAGACAATATATTACAGTAGTCATTGGGATAACCAGTGTCTAACATACTGTAACCTGTAGAATTAGAGAAACTATATCAAAGAGATAATTGATTCATATCATTTAATCTTATTGTTAATTATATTGAGATACACGTAAGACAGATCACGGCTTATCATGTTGTTTCCTGTAAATAAAGATAATTTTAAAAAAATAAAATACAACAAGACACTGCACAATTCATATAGCATCCTTTTTAATGTAACAATAAAACCCAGGCGTGTTACACTTTTCAAGAATGATAAAAAATAATTATTGTTGTAAAAGTCACTAGTAATATTTTAAAAATGAATATATGAAAAATTAATATCTGCTAGAGTCTGTGTCTTTAAAATGTATAGAATGCAATACGAAGTAAATCATTCAAAATTATAACAAGGTAAGAAATGATGTACCTGTAAATGATTTAAAATATTAGAATTTCATTGAATTTTGAACAAGTATTGTAAAAGTGTAATGCGTTGAGATGTTTTGAATCTGGCTTTTTAATATGACTATTTTTCCGATCAAATAGTTTTCTTTGAAAATTAAGTTTTCGTGAACAAGTCGACATTAAATAGCTATCACGCGCTGTAAACTTCCTATTCCCTCGTAGTTAAAAATGAGAATTATTGAAAATCATCAAGACACCTAAGCTTGATAACAATAGCGGATCAAGGGAGTTACTGGATATGTTTGTTACAAAAAATCCAACATAATTTTGTTTGTTTTTAAAATATATAATATTAAATTTCAAATACTTAGCAATGACAAATTCAATGTCCACAGAATTCTGAAATTGTAAATACGAATGATATCTAGAAATTTTAAATACGTTTATATAGTGTGGAATCAAAAATGATTACAGATTCTTTGCTTTCAAGAAGAATTAAATGGTATACGTGTATCTTATTTCTCTTTTTTTCAACAACTTAATAAACTTTCAATGCAAAGAAGTTTATGATGATATACGTGATTTGAACTCCATTTTAAGAACTTACCATGAACACACTTACCTAAGGTTCCAATGGCAGGTCCTGCAAGAAAAAGTTGATATATCTCTGTTTCGTTGGAGACAGAGAATCGATCGTACATTTCATAAAACTTTGTACCATTCTGTAGAGTAATGGACACATGAAGGGATGAGGTCTTTTCTTTTGTTAATTGATGGATTACGTCATTTCCTGTATTAAGATATATTTGAAATCAGCTGAGAAGTCCATTGCAATACAATTAATTCTATTAAAAATATAAATATATCATAATGAAAAATCAAATTATTTTCCTAAGTTATAGACATTGATGCTAAATTTGGTCTCATTAAAACCATGCCGCTAAATGATTTTTTTCTATTCTTTTTTTTTCTTACTATTTAAGATATCAATTAAACACGATAAGTGAATATCATAGAACGCAAATTATCTAGTCTTCAAATCAGATCTTTGATACGTTTCGAATTTTTATCTGCTGCAACAGAGAATTTTTGTAAAATTTGCAAGCGGATTAAAGTTCCTATTTGAAAGCGATTTACACTTACCAACCCAGACATCCTGATCCGGTGAACCAAAACCATTCTTGTATTCGATCTAGTTCCTGTCAAAGCTCAACGAACCATCTACGCGTTTTTGAATTGCCTTTGAAAATTAACATGCATAACAATATAATTCATTGTTTTGAACACTTGTAGGATTCATTTGTTATGATATACATGTAAACTCAAAATATTCATTTTTTTAATCCTTCAATCCTTAAAGCAACAAGAACACTGAATGTGAATTATATTTTGTACTTTTAATTTTGAAATAAACTACACACCGTCCATTGTCTCCATATCACAGTAAACTCTGACAGGACTGGTAATGTAATATAGTAATAATCTACATACCGTCCATCCTCCGTCCATTGTCTCCATATCACAGTAAACTCTGACAGGACTGGTAATGTAATATAGTAATAATCTACATACCGTCCATCCTCCGTCCATTGTCTCCATATCACAGTAAACTCTGACAGGACTGGTAATGTAATATAGTAATAATCTACATACCGTCCATCCTCCGTCCATTGTCTCCATATCACAGTAAACTCTGACAGGACTGGTAATGTAATATAGTAATAATCTACATACCGTCCACCCTCCGTCCATTGTCTCCATATCACAGTAAACTCTGACAGGACTGGTAATGTAATATAGTAATAATCTACATACCGTCCATCCTCCGTCCATTGTCTCCATATCACAGTAAACTCTGACAGGACTGGTAATGTAACATAGTAATAATTTACATACCGTCCATCCTCCGCCCATTGTCTCCATATCACAGTAAACTCTGACAGGACTGGTAATGTAATATAGTAATAATCTACATACCGTCCATCCTCCGTCCATTGTCTCCATGTCACAGTAAACTCTGGCAGGACTGGTAATGTAATATAGTAATAATCTACATACCGTCCATCCTCCGTCCATTGTCTCCATGTCACAGTAAACTCTGGCAGGACTGGTAATGTAATATAGTAATAATCTACATACCGTCCATCCTCCGTCCATTGTCTCCATGTCACAGTAAACTCTGGCAGGACTGGTAATGTAATATAGTAATAATCTACATACCGTCCACCCTCCGTCCATTGTCTCCATATCACAGTAAACTCTGACAGGACTGGTAATGTAATATAGTAATAAACTACATACCGTCCATCCTCCGTCCATTGTCCCCATATCACAGTAAACTCTGACAGGACTGGTAATGTAATATAGTAATAATCTACATACCGTCCATCCTCCGTCCATTGTCTCCATATCACAGTAAACTCTGACAGGACTGGAAATGGTGCCATAGGGGTAAATGTCGTACACCCCTGAATTAGCCTGACCATCTTCACGAAGATCCTTACAATCTAAGGGAAAAACTGAGAAAAAATGCTGGAATCATATTATCCATAGTTAAAACATTGCTGTGACGTCATGCCTTTGTTCTTGCAGTCTAAAAATTTACCTGTAGCCGTCCGATAATAATAATTAACAGTCCAATAATATATTATCGGACGGCAGTGATAACAAAATCGGACAGTAAAAAAAACAACAACTAGAGTGAAATCAAGGTTTAATTTGTCCAGAAACCAAAAATTAATTTAGGGAGAAAAATTCCGGGAAAGCGAACGTGATATGTTGTTAAAAATAGCAAATCCAAGAAGAAGCTGGAGTTTTAACCTTCCTCAAAAGTAACACTTTCTATTCGGTTTTTTGCAAAGCGTTTTCGATACAGCACCGTGAATAAGCCAATTTAAATCCATCTCTGATAAAGAACCAGTCTGCGAATCTCTTCATTTAAAGAAATTTGTTCGTCAATGACCGCACTTTTGAAATCCAAGATTTTCATTATATCATCCAATCAAAATTTTAGATAAAAATCCGCATTTTTACTTCAAATGCATTTTGAAGATATTATCCAACACTTTATCTGTATCAATCTCAAACGCACTTAATGAAAAAAAAAATATTCCGAATCATAAAAGAATCCTTCATCACCTGACCACTGTCCATAGTTCCTGCTAAGACAAACGACTGCCATTGAATGAATGAATGAAACAAAAGAGTTCACTCACTGATTTTACTGTCTAAAGAAAAAAAAAACTTTCTCTTTTCTTTTGTCTACTTATTAGATGGTTTCAGGTAGAAAACTATTGATGCCTGAACTCCTATTGTGTAATTATCGGACTCCTCCAGGTAACTTTTGGACATTTAAATAGCAATGTTTTAAGTAAGATATATGCCTCATACAATTCTATATGTAAAATTATCAGACTGTTTTCGGCCCTAACGGGCCTCAAACAGTCTGATAATTTTACATATAGAACAGTATTCGGCATATATCCATTACATACAGGTAGTGAGAGGATACATTATAGATACAGGTAGTGAGAGGATACATTATAGATACAGGTAGTGAGAGGATACATTATAGATACAGTAGTGAGAGGATACATTATAGATACAGGTAGTGAGAGGATACATTATAAATACAGATAGTGAGAGGATAAATTATAGATACAGGTAGTGAGAGGATACATTATAGATACAGGTAGTGAGAGGATACATTATAGATACAGGTAGTGAGAGGATACATTATAGATACAGGTAGTGAGAGGATACATTATAGATACAGATAGTGAGAGGATACATTATAGATACAGGTAGTGAGAGGATACATTATAGATACAGTAGTTAGAGGATACATTATAGATACAGTAGTGAGAGGATACATTATAGATACAGTTAGTGAGAGGATACATTATAGATACAGATAGTGAGAGGATACATTATAGATACAGTAGTGAGAGGATACATTATAGATACAGGTAGTGAGAGGATACATTATAGATACAGGTAGTGAGAGGATACATTATAGATACAGGTAGTGAGAGGATACATTATAGATACAGGTAGTGAGAGGATACATTATAGATACAGGTAGTGAGAGGATACATTATAGATACAGGTAGTGAGAGGATACATTATAGGTACAGGTAGTGAGAGGATACATTATAGATACAGGTAGTGAGAGGATACATTATAGATACAGGTAGTGAGAGGATACATTATAGATACAGGTAGTGAGAGGATACATTATAGATACAGGTAGTGAGAGGATACATTATAGATACAGGTAGTGAGAGGATACATTATAGATACAGTAGTTAGAGGATACATTATAGATACAGTAGTGAGAGGATACATTATAGATACAGATAGTGAGAGGATACATTATAGATACAGGTAGTGAGAGGATACATTATAGATACAGTAGTTAGAGGATACATTATAGATACAGTAGTGAGAGGATACATTATAGATACAGATAGTGAGAGGATACATTATAGATACAGGTAGTGAGAGGATACATTATAGATACAGTAGTTAGAGGATACATTATAGATACAGTAGTGAGAGGATACATTATAGATACAGGTAGTGAGAGGATACATTATAGATACAGTAGTGAGAGGATACATTATAGATACAGG